GCAAACTTGAAAATTTCTCAATTGCTATTACAAATGGCTGCTTCTCAACCGGCCAAGTCTGTTCTAATTGGTTCATGTATAAGAGCCACGACACAGCGGAGTTGAGTTAGTTACAAGACAGCAAACTACAAGTAAAGTGAGCAGAGAAGTGAGTTGCGAATAAGCAAGCTATAAGTTTAATTGTGTTAACAAGTTTAGTTAAGCGTTGTTATTGCTTTAACAAGTATTGTAGAGTGTTTTTACTGTATTAGCGAGTATTGTAAATTGTTTGTTGTACAATAAAGTTAATTGTACTACAATTTGGTCTTCGTGAGCATTTATTTAACAATCCAGCGATACGAGCCCGAGTATATTTGGGAAATCCCTCAAGGCTTCGAGGATAATCGTAACAGTATCTTCCTAAAATTTGCACAAACACGTATCACTTTTGAAGTAAATGGATTTCAACGGCAACACTGATCCAATAGTAGAAACCGATTCATCTCCTGCGCCCTGCATCATTTATTTATTCACTGTTGGCAATTCGGTTCTAATTTGACATTTTTTTTACAACGAAAACGTCATACAATTTTCTCATATGAGCCACTGGGAAGGAAAATTTTCTACGGTGGTATTTGTTTAAATAGTTAGTGCAAATTTCAATAACGCTTTGTAAAACGTGAACAGTAAATATTTAGTCAACACAATGCCTCTTAAGTTGGATATAAAACGCCGCTTAACCTCGCGTTCGGATCGAGTGAAATGTGTAGATCTACATCCGACAGAGCCGTGGATGTTGTGTGCACTTTACAATGGCCACGTACACATTATGAACTATGAAAACCAACAATTGGTTAAAGATTTCGAAGTGTGTGATGTGCCGGTGCGTTGTGGACGTTTTGTGGCTCGGAAAAATTGGCTCATTACTGGTTCCGATGATATGCAGATACGTGTATTCAACTATAATACCCTAGAAAAGATACACTCGTTCGAGGCTCACTCGGATTATCTACGATGTATAGCCGTACACCCGACGCAGCCATTAATACTTACTAGTAGTGGTAAGTTAAGCTAAATTACTATTGTGGTTTCGTAGATATATAAATATTACTATAATGTAGATGATATGCTGATAAAGTTATGGAACTGGGAAAAATTGTGGGCATGTCAACGCGTGTTCGAAGGCCATACGCATTATGTTATGCAGATTGTTTTCAATCCGAAGGACAACAACACATTTGCTTCTGCCTCACTTGACCGAACAGTGAAGGTTTGGCAACTTGGTTCAACATTCGCAAACTTCACACTTGAGGGACATGAGAAAGGAATCAATTGCATTGATTATTATCATGGAGGTGATAAACCCTACTTGATTTCTGGCGCAGATGACCGATTGGTAAAGATTTGGGACTATCAAAACAAAACCTGCGTACAAACATTGGAAGGGCATGCACAAAATATATCTGCAGTTTGTTTTCATCCCGAGTTGCCTATAGTTTTAACTGGGTCCGAAGATGGCACCGTTCGAATCTGGCATTCAGGCACTTACCGCTTAGAAACTTGCCTCAACTATGGGTTTGAGCGAGTTTGGACAATTGCGTGTATGCGTGGCAGTAATAACGTTGCTCTTGGTTATGATGAAGGATCAATTATAATAAAAGTGGGTCGAGAAGAACCCGCAATGTCAATGGATGTTATTGGCTCTAAAATTATTTGGGCTAAACACTCTGAAATGCAGCAGGTAATGATTGCTTGGTATGAAATAGGAATTATATTTAATAACTAAACAATTTTTCAGGTAAATTTAAAAGCAATGGCCGATGGAACCGAAATAAAAGATGGCGAACGATTGCCAGTTGCCGTTAAAGATATGGGCGCTTGTGAGATTTATCCCCAAACTATAGCACATAATCCCAATGGTCGCTTTGTTGTGGTATGTGGCGATGGCGAATACATAATATACACATCTATGGCTTTGCGTAACAAAGCATATGGATCTGCTCAAGAATTCGTGTGGGCGTTGGAGAGTAATGAATATGCCATACGAGAGAATAATGGAACAGTTCGCCTTTTCCGCAATTTTAAAGAGCGGAAAAGTTTCACCCCTGAGTATGGAGCAGAAAGTATTTACGGAGGGTACTTGTTTGGTGTAAAAACATCGTCTGGATTGGCATTCTACGACTGGGAGACTCTACAGTTAGTGCGCCGAGTCGAAGTGCAACCACGGCATGTCTTCTGGAACGAAGCGGGCACATTAGTATGTCTTGCTACCGATGAATCTTACTTTATTCTCTCAGTAGATACTGCTGCAATTGCAACTGCATTGGAAAACAAGCAAGGGCTCGAAGACGATGGTATTGAAAGTGCCTTCGAGGTTTTGGGTATGCAAAAATATATAAATATAGTTTTCCATTGAATGTTTGTTAAAATTTCGTTTTATCGATGCAGGCGAAGTCAACGAGGTAGTAAAGACCGGAATTTGGGTTGGGGACTGCTTTATCTACACAAACTCTGTTAATCGTATTAACTATTGTGTTGGTGGCGAAATTGTTACGATATCTCATCTGGATCGTACAATGTATTTGCTGGGCTATGTACCGAAGGACAACCGCCTGTATTTGGGTGATAAGGAGCTGAACGTCATCTCATTTTCGCTTCTGTTGTCTGTACTCGAATACCAAACAGCGGTTATGCGTCGCGATTTCGAAAGAGCAGATCTAGTGTTACCCACCGTCCCCAAAGAGCATCGTACACGAGTCGCTCATTTCCTGGAGAAGCAGGGCTTTAAACAGCAGGCATTGCAAGTTTCCACTGACTCCGATCATAAATTCGACTTAGCCTTACAAATCGGTGAATTGGATGTGGCATTGAAACTGGCACGCGAAGCAGAAAATCCCCAAAAGTGGTCACAATTAGCTGACGTCGCTTCACGAAAAAACAATATGCAACTTGTAAAAGAATGCATGCAAAAAGCAAATGATTTCAGTGGTCTTTTGCTATTGGCGACATCCTCAGGAGATGAGAAAATGTTGGAAGACGTAGCTGAAAGCAGCTCCAAACAAGGACGTCACAATATAGCATTCCTCTCGTCTTTCGTACGAGCTAATGTGCAACGTTGTCTGGATATATTAATTGAGACGAATCGTTTACCCGAAGCTGCATTTTTTGCACGCACATACATTCCCAGCCAAATGTCTCGCATAGTTGAACTTTGGCGTGAAGAGTTGGCTAAGTTTAATGAAAAGGCTGGTCAATCCCTTGCCGATCCAGCCAAATATGAAAATCTTTTCCCTGGTCTAGGAGAGGCGCTACGCGTAGAAGAATTTTTGCAACAAACTCAAGAAAAGAAGTTACCAGCTTCTGCTGCCGCTCAAATACCACTCAATATTGAGCGCAATCCGATAGAGGAAATGCACTTAGCAGAACAACGAGGAATTTTTGAGAGTAACAGTAAGCCAGCTGCGCAATCATATAAGAAAAATGATGACTATGTGGGTGAAGCACCAGTCAATGCCGTTGCCAATACCACTGCTGCCACAACCGTATTATGTAAAACATCAGATGGACTGGGAGACGATGGTGATGACGACGAGTTGGAACTTGAAATTGATGGTGTGACGTTGGATGATTTTATTGATACAACCGATGTTAATTTAGATGAGGACTTTTTGAGCGATGACTAAGTCAATCGCCGCCAACTTTATTTTAACTATACCACAAGAAAATATTTACATTTACATTTAGAAATCTATTCCCATACCCGAATTGGTTATCGTTATTTAAGTTTTTGCATAGCGACAGTGTTCTCCATTACAACAGTACTAATGCGTAATTCGGCATACATTCTTTTTATTAAGTTGAATTGCAAACATACATATATTGAACGCAACTTCGGAAATACGGCGAATATTTGCTGCGCCAAGAGTTAAATTAAACATTCTGTATAAATTAATAATAGAAAACAATAAAGGAAATACTTGTAGCAAACATTTATGTTAGTAAACAAATACTTTTTATTTTACTTACGTGCCTGCCATGTACGGTACGAACGTATGCATTCAAAGTGTATGATTCAGTGATAGCATTTTCGTAGATTTTACGAAAATTCGGACTACGACGGAGTCAGCGACACATTCCCACGACAGCCGGCTCTACGGACCGGTATGACTCGGGTTTTACCCGACCAAGGGCTGTTGTTTCGGCGATCTAACCCCGTTTAGGTCGGCAACACGCGAGAATGGACGAGTGACTATGTGGGCTCCTGCTGTGATGCCCAGTCGCATCTTTCCCCCGCGATGCCGCCAAACACCACCACAAGGCAGTGTAGTGGCGCTCGTAGCATAATTACCATTTCTGCTTCACCGTTAAAACCTTGAAATTTGTTTACTAAACCCCTTTCGGAAGTAGAGGATTAAAGTAATATTATTTTCTACATTTCCAATTTAAATTTAGTAAAAAACAAATATAAAATACTATAATAGTCTATCTCATTTTCTCATATTTTACACATATTATGTTTCACTTAACTACCATTATAAATATACTCGAACTAAAGTTCTAATTAATAAGTATTTATAAATATTACATGCTAGTGCACTATAACTAATATGTATAAAAAAAAATTTTAAATTGTCTTACAAAATTATTATTATCATCTTATTAAAATTATCTTCACATATGTTTCGTTTTTTTTTCATTCATATCGTAAATTGGAACTTCCGGTTGTGCCACTTGCTAAGTAATAACAACATGAACGAAAGACACAAGATCACGCCTTCCTGAAAGAAAGAAAAAAGTTATTTTTTAGCTGTTGAAATCTCGACGCCATCTTTGTTGTAAGAAGTAAACAACGAAGAGAACAAAAAAAAACGCGTAATTGTTGAACGCAAGAATAATCATTTTTATTATGCAAATTCTTCTATACATCATGTCGCTGTGTTAAATTATTCTTTACCTTATGTGTGCACACGTTGTCACAAGCGAAAATTAAGAAAATTGCAGTAAAAAGCCACCACCGAATTGTAAACAACGAACAAATGTAAACAAACGGCTAATGTCAAAGTCGCACAACTTTTTTCCTAAATGCGATTATAACGGGGTACTAAGAAGGCGTGATGTTATGGTTGAGGGGGTAGCCCTGAGGGGGTAGCCCTCTTTATTTACAAAATATACATACGAGAATAATACAATACAAATTATAAGATCTTAAATACAAACTTGGATATTATATGGCTTACCGCGTATTACGTTACAACGTGCTTAGGTATCGGCAGACGGAAAAGAAAAAGAAATAAAATAATATGCAGACGGGATACAATAACGGATCCTAGTTCTACAATGACATATCAAAATTAAAGTCTACACTTGTGGGTTGCCAACATCCTTCCTTCTTTTAAAAAGATGGTAATCTGGAATCCATGCAGGAGGTCTTTTACGCCTAGATGAACGTCTTAGCTCTGGATGAACCTCGGTTTGCTCTGTTACCGGTTCGCGGTTGTCATTCGGAGCATCGGTACTAGCCTCTGGTAGCAATTGGTTCGGAGGATCTGCCATATTCGTGCATGGTGTAGTCTGCTGACTCGTATCACTTGAAGCCGATTCCTGTGAAGTAGCGAGATCTGGCTCTGCAATACAAGCGCGTGAGTTGCTAGCGTCAGAGACTGATGACGGTGACAGATCGAAATAATCGAATAAAATATCCAACGCCTTCTGTGGAGCTTCGACGAATCTTGAACGTAGTTGGTTCGCGTGTGATTTCACTGCCTTAAAAATGTTGGAGTTTTCAATTCTTACTTCGCAATTTACTTTGCCAAGAATCTTTGTTATTATTCCAGGTGCCCAAAAGGATTCATTCAGCTTATACAGTTTCGCGTATACAGGATCACCGATTTTATAACTTCGTTCCTGGGCATGATTTTGTCTATTAAATTGTTGTTCCATACGCTCGTTACGTTGATTGCTATGTGGCTTAGAAATCTTAAGGAGGTCCAACTCCGTCCTTAGCCTTCTCCCCACGAACAAATCAGCTGGCGATTTGCCTTGTGCACTTCGATTTGGCGTAACTCGATTGGTTTTTAAAAATGTTTGCAAGATTTGTTTCGTCGTTCCTGCGCCCTCTAATTTCTTCAAAGCTCTTTTCAAAGTATCTACGAAACGTTCTGCTTGCCCGTTCGACTGTGGGTGATACGGAGCAGTGAATTTATGAATAATACCTTGGCTTTTGCAGAAATCTGAGAAAGTTTTACTCGAAAATTGGGTTCCATTATCGCTAACTATTAGCTCTGGGTTCCCAAATTGTGACGTGAAATCAGCAATACAATTTAAAATGCTTGCAGAAGTTATTGAATTAACTTGGTATATTTGCGGCCACTTTGAATATGCGTCGATGATTAAAAAGTAGTAAATGCCATTTACCGGACCAGCAATGTCGATATGAACGCGTTGCATTGGATGTTCTGCTATAGGCCATAAAGAAAGAGTCGTTTTCGGCAACGTCTTTGCAACAGCAGCGCATTTCCCACATCCTTGAACAAATCGCTTAATCTCTTCATCCAGTCCCGGCCAGTATACGTAACTCCGAGATAGTGATTTTGTTCGCTCGATTCCTTGATGACCTTTATGCAATTGTTGTAAGATACGTTTGTGGAAACAGTAAGGTATAACCAATCGATCTTTGAGCATAATGCAATTTTCGACTATACCCAAAGCGTCTCTATGTATATAATAGCTGCGTAAATCGTCGGTTATCGTATTCGGCCACTTACCATTCTTCAAGTATGAGATGACTTCTTGTAAAACTTTGTCCTTCAACGTTGCATTTTGGATCATCTGGAACGTTACTGGTAAATTCTCTAAGGCTTCGACTGCACTTTGTTTCACTTCACGCTCTAGTTGACAGCAAGCGATGATCGTATCTTCGTTAGGCCTTGTTGTGTTTCTGGTGAGACGCGATAGTATATCTGCAGCCCCGAATTCCCTCGTAGGTATATACTCTAACATAAAATCGTAAGACATCAAGGTTAAAGCCCATCGCTGAAGGCGGTTTGCAGAGTGTGCAGGAATCCCCTTCTTATTACCGAAAATTGCCAGCAATGGTTTATGGTCGGTATGCAAGTAAAACTTCCTACCGTACAAATACTTATGGAACTTTACCACTGCAAATACTAACGCTAAACCTTCCTTCTCAATCTGCGAGTAATTTTTCTCAGCTTGAGTAAGCGATCTTGAAGCATGCGCAATTGCGTTATCCTTACCATCAGGATAAATGTGACAAATATATGCGCCTAGACCCACGTTAGAACCATCAGCAGCTACTTTGATTGGCAATCTTGGGTCGTAATGTGTTAACAACAGATCCGAAGAAAGAAGTTCTTTGAATTTGTTGAAATGTTGCTGACATTGCGATGACCAAACCCACTTCGAATCCGTTTTCAATAAAACATCCAAAGGATTCCTCAGAGCGCGCATTTCTCTAATAAACTTACCGTAGTAGTTTATAGCACCTAAAAATGTTCGAAGCTCGCTTACATCTTTCGGAGGCGGTAGTTCCAAAATTTTGTTAATTTTGCTCTTATCTGGGCTAATTCCATTTTTATCGATGTGATAACCCAGATAAGTACAGGACTTCTGAAAAAACTTGCACTTGTTGAAGTTGACAGTGATGTTGTGTAACTTAAAACGTTCGAATATCTGAATCACTGCGTTAATGTTTTGCTCTTTACTTTTAGTGGCTATAACAACATCGTCTAAGTACGGGAACACTCCACGAATTCCCGACAGAAGTGATTCCATAACTTGTTGAAATGCCCCGGGTGCAGATTTAACTCCTGGTGCTAAACGATTGAATGTGTATAACCCTCGATGCGTGTTGATCACTAAAAGTTTCTTGGTATCTTCATCAACTTCTATCTGCATGTACGCATCCACTATAGAAAAATATGAGCAGCCGTTGAAATTAACAAATATTTCGTCTGGAAGTGGTAGTGGAAAAGTGTGAGGTTCAAGCTGATCGTTGAGACCTGTGGAATAATCTCCACATATGCGCACATCGCCTGATGCTTTTTTTACCACTACGATTGGTGCTGACCATTTTGAAAAGTTGATTGGAGATATAATACCCTCATCTTCTAATCTTTTCAGTTCTCTTTCAACTTGGTCGCGAGCTGCGTACGCAATCGATCTTTTGGGACGGAACACAGGAACTGCTTGTGGTTTAAGTTGTAGGTGAACTTTTTGTGCCGTGAAGTGACCAATTTCGTCTCTAAATATACTCGGAAACATCGCAAGCAAATTTGGTTGTGTTAATTTACTGCTGGTTTGAACGTTCCTGCATGACGTGTATTCTGTTATGCGAGTGTCCCATAACTCAAAAAGCGAGATAATGTCTGTGCCTAATAAATTAAGGTTAGGTGACACAGTGATTGTTGCTTGCTTTTTCTTTCCTTTCATTACAATGTCTGCCTCAAATTCTCCAGCAATCGAAATTTGATTTGCCGAAGCATCACGAAATGATTTCTGACATGAGCGCAATGAAGGACTGCCGATTCTTTTCCAATTCTGCGTGGAAATAATGGTTACGTCCGAACCAGTATCGTGTTGGAGTTGGAGACCCACGCCATTAATCTCTATGGTCACAAAACGACGGTTGTGAGAACCATTTTCACACGCTGTAAATACGCTTCTAATAAATTTCCGCTTCCTACTCTTTTTCTTTGTCTCGTTACGTTTCGCCATCGCCGGTTTCCGTTCCGAAAAGCATGAACAATAACCTTCTTTGTGACCCACTTTACCACATTGCGTGCATTTATGGCTGGTAAAGCTACACTCACGAACAAAATGCATACGACCACATTGCCAGCAAGGTCTGCTTGGCAATGCCTTAGTATCGACTTTCGCTTGCTTGTGTTCTGAAACCGCTTGAACTTTCGTTGGGTTAGCACATACGAGTGCATCATTTTTTAAGTTCTTAATACGCTGTATTTCTGCTACTAAATTATCGATTGTTAAAGGTCTTTCACTAGTTTCCGAGTCCAGCATAGATAGAAGTCTCGCGCGCAGATCTTCGTCAGATGCCGATTGCATGCCGTGAACGAACATTAGACATTTAAAATTATTACCCGTACAATCCCGAAGATTAAAATTTTCACATAACCTATTGACTCGGGCTGCATATGTTATAACTTCTTCGTCATTCATACGCACATTCTGTATGCATTTTACCCTAATACTGAACTGTGACTCCTTTTTCCCAAAAAGTTTTTTTAGCGTTGCAATAGTGTCCTCGAACTTGATATCACGCGGCTGGGCAGGCAAAATATAGTCCCGATATTTGTCGAACACATTCGTGCTTACCTTCCTTAGGAGCAAGCGCACTTTTGCGGCATCATCCAGTGACGCAGCTTCCACATTAAAATTATCCTCATACCGCACGTACCATTTGGCAAAAGTTTGACCTTCCTCAGGGTCATAAGCGAATTCACGTATGCTCTTCGCAAGAGTCTCCATTAGAGCTTCTGATCCGCCCAATGTACTGTTTGTTGGTGAGCCCCGCTCATTTTGTCCATTGGTATAATTTGCTGTCACAGCAATTAAACGTTCCAAGAGCAGTTTTTGTTGCTCCGCGGTTTCTTGCTGTCTTGATAGAAGAGTCGCAACCACCTGCTCTAATGTCGCCATTTTTGATATTGCTCTGAGCTCGAAAAGAGTTGTTTTTCTTCGTCGCCAATGTTATGGTTGAGGGGGTAGCCGTAGCTTAATCTTTATTTACAAAATATACATACGAGAATAATACAATACAAATTATAAGATCTTAAATACAAACTTGGATATTATATGGCTTACCGCGTATTACGTTACAACGTGCTTAGGTATCGGCAGACGGAAAAGAAAAAGAAATAAAATAATATGCAAACGGGATACAATAACGGATCCTAGTTCTACAATGACATATCAAAATTAAAGTCTACACTTGTGGGTTGCCAACACGTGATCTTGTATTTTTGGTTCATGTAATAACAACTAGATATTAGGAGTGTTCGCTATGCAAAAAATTTGTATAAGTTTTTACCAATTGTTACCAAATCGTGCTCGATTAGCCAAAAACCCAGTACAACTTGCAAGGAGAGAGCACAATTTTGACATTTCATTTGGAGGGGAAGCTGCAAATTCGTGCTGGGAAAATTTTTGGGGTGGGCTTTAGATTGGTAACCCCGGAGTACAGCATTAAGGAAAATATGGGAGGTAGAGGGGGGTCTAACAGTTCCCTGTATGAAGTTTCAAAGCGCGCACCTTATACTCTTTAATTTGTTATTAAAGTTTGTAATTTTAACCAACTTGTATGGCACTATTTTACAATATATAATGCACTTTCCACTAAATTTACAGGTTATTTACATTCAATGTATGCGCAGTTAGAGTGTGCACGTTCAAACAAATAAAGGGTGAGGTTTAGTAGCGCTCACAACTATTTCGGGCTATTCCGTCCAAAGGGGTCGCCCGATCCAAAAAAAAATTCCACACCCTTGTAGTCAAGGATCCACGCATTATTTTAACACTCACTTTTGTAAATTTTGGTCACTAATTTCTTTACAAATTGGGTTTGAAATATGCCCTTTTTTAAAAAATTCGGAAATTAGCATACATTTATCACTCTTAATTCTCCTTAAAGAAGCCACTTCACCAATACATTTTTGTATTCCCCTTCACTTTACACTTTACTCGATCAGTTATAACTTGCTTTACGACTTTAATATTAACCAATTAATAACAATTCATTAAATAAAAACACCTTCAAAATCACGCGTCTGACTTTGGTTGCATATGCAAATTAAATGGCGGAGTTCAGTTGTCAAACTCCAAAATATGCAAAAGAATGAGAGACAAAAGAAGATAAAATATAACCCAGAAGCATGAAAAATATAAAAAGGTGTTCTCTGCAAAAGGTGTTCAGCTCCTTTTCTTCGCAAAACAGTAAGATACCTTATTCTCTGAATTTTGTTACTGGCTAATTCTTACTGGCAGTTGCATAGCGAACACTCCTATTTGCTGCAAACAATATGAATGTTCACACTGACATTTATCCTATTGCCTTTTATTTTCCAGAAAAGATCACGCGATGATTAGGCAAAAAAAAGAGAAAAGAAAAGGATTTTTGCAAACGGGAGCTTAGCGGTTCTTGGCGGCCAAGGATTCGATCTCTTTGGTTTTCAGATCTTCCGAAAAACTTTAAAGACTTAACGAAAAAAAACGCAGCTATACAGCTGTACACACAAAGGCATGTTGAAGTCAAACAACAACAAAAAAAATACACACTCTTTCGTATTCGGATTTTGCTACGAATCGTAGAAATAGTATGCTGCAATCCGAATCGTATTTTCGAACTTTCGAAATTCGTAACAATGGCATGCCTAAAAACGAACGAGTAAGCTTTTTTGCGTAATTTTGTACGAAAACAATTCTGTGTCGGAGGCGAAATAAAAGATGTAAATCGATGTGTGTTTGCAAGAATTATAGGTGGTGTTCATTTAAACAGATAAATTTGCCTTTCGCATATACGTATATTTTTATCCACTGCTTTATATAAACGAGCAAAAAGAATATTTGTTGCCCCTTATCGAGAAACTTGGGTCCGGTTTAGTTAATGTAAAACGATTTTCGGTTGTTGTGTCCAAACGCATAACCCGAATCCCAAAACTTTAACATAGACGTGTAATCAAAGGATTTACATTTTATTTAAGAAAAATGTTTCAAATTTCCAACCACTAGCTTATTAATAAACTCGGTTTGCACTATGCACTTTTTTGCAAATACTCCCCCTCCCCCTGCGCAAAAATACTCCAGGTCTTCTACGCAACACAGAAAAGAGAATTCTACTCAGTAAGGGTTATAATCCCTGGGTCTCGAAAGACATTAGGTGTGTACTCGTACGCCTAACTATCTAAAGTTTTAGAAAACTTTTACTGGTTTTGCGTTCTCGTACCCCAAAAACTTGCAAAGTAGGGGAAATTGAGAGAGCAAAATGTGAAAGAGAGCTGCAAATTTCTGCTGGAAAAATTTTTCCCAGCGAAAACTTGCAAGTAAGAAAATCAGCTGATCACAAACACATGTTTGTAAATAAACAAAAGAAAATATTGCCTTTTTGAGTTATTTATTGCAAATTTTATTATTAATGCTAGTATATAACTAAAAAGTGCGTAAATTTAATAAGCACAACGTTTGTTGAATTTATTTTTCGTTAATTTGCTATTAATCCCCAGTTTGTTTACTATAGTGCGGGCTGACTGGTTGCCGTATGACATTTTTCGTTTGTACCATAAATTTCCTTTAAATATACCAAAATAGATTTAAATGAAGCATTCAGCATTTTTGCTGAAGTTTTCGGTTTTGGTAGGTTGATTGTTGAAATGAAAATTTTATAATTTTAAACCTACTCTATTACATTATTTTGGATCAAAGATGGGTGTTTGGAGGAGATACTCTTGTTTTTAATGAGTCACTATGTGATATCAGAAATAATTATGAGAAAAATTACTTATTCATTCCGATATAATTAATTCGTATTTTAAAAAGGTTTTTCTTAACCAAAACTTTTCAATTGTATAAAATGCCAAATCGGGAGAAAATGCACCAAGCAGAAAATAGATTGCCAAATTAATCACCAGTGGCAACTGTGCAAGTGAACAGCTGTTTCGAAGGTTGCAAGTTTTTGCAAATTTTGCGTTCTCGTACTTCTGTTGATATTTCGTCTCTTTGAGAGCGAATGCTGCTAAATTCTCAGAACTTTTTCTGCTGGAGAATTTTGTCCTCTCAATACGAGTACACACCTATTAGGAGTGTACTCGTAAGCCCAACTATCTAAAGTTTTAGAAAACTTTTACTGGTTTTGCGTTCTCGTACCCAAAAAAACTTGCAAAGTAGGGGAAATTGAGAGAGCAAAATATGAACGAGAGCTGCAAATTTCTGCTGGAAAAATTTTTCCCAGCTAAAACTTGCAAGTAAGAAAATCAGCTGATCACAAACACATGTTTGTAAATAAACAAAAGAAAATATGGCCTTTTTGAGTTATTTATTGCAAATTTTATTATTAA